CCTACAATACCACAATCCCTTAACATTAAGATCGCGCCGCAACCGAACCGCAGAGCTCGGCCACGTCACATTGTCCAGCAGACGACCATTAAATGATTGTCCCACGCTGTCCCAAACACGACCCCGGGGAAAACTCCATTACATTTTCCTTACACCCCTATCACTCAGGGCGGCGCTGGCTTTAATAAGGAGGACGCCACGTTCGGAATAAACCACAGGAGACGTTGAACCAAGTCAGAATGGCCCGCATGAGATTCGAACCATTCGCGAAGCAAGCATTACACACACACGACACGAAGTATCAATCGTTACTAAGTGGTGTTTTGAGTGCGAGGAAGCAAATATCGCGTTAATTGGGACATTGATCATACTCTGGAACCGATACTGGGAAATCTCCCTTCAAAGGCTACGGCAGGATATCACTGCTACGTGCGAGGATCTCGTTCTTGGCCTCGCAGAAATGCACTGATGTTTTATCTAACGCCATTTGATTGGTCTATTATTTTATCCTCCTCAGAATTATCGCAGTTCAACAACCTTATAGTTAGGGAATATATGACCACATCGATTTATTGACAGCCGTGGTCTTTGTGTACTCTGACCCATAGCCACTATTGTCTATGACTACTATTGTCTATGACCGCAATGGTCTATGACTACTATTGTCTATGACCGCAATGGTCTATGACTACTATTGTCTATGACCACTATGGTCTATGGCCACTATGGTCTATGACCACTATGGTCTATGACCACTATGTTCTATGCCCACTATAGTCTATGGCCACTATTGTCTATACGATCACTATTGTCCAGAGGCGTAGCGAGAGTTTTTGGCACCCGTGCACAAGATTCGCGCCCAGGGACAAGATTCATTTCAAAGCACCCCCTTTTCTTTTTTTTCCAAATCACAAACCCCTTATTTTCATCAGTAAAATAATATCAAAGCACAGCTTGGCGCCCCTAACTAGCTGACGCCTGGGGACATCTGCCCCCCCCCTTTTCGCTACGCCTCTGCCTTTGTCTATATGACAACTATTGTATGGGACCTCTATTGACTACTAAATTTATTGTCTATATGGTCTGCCATACGGCTGTGGGATTCAAATAATTTAACAAACATGATCACAGTCCTAGTATTCGTTTTAGTAGACATTAAACAACCCATAAAAAATAAGTATCAAGCCTTTATAAAATTCAATATCAAGCAATGGGGGTGGGGCTGAAAATTTGAAAAAAAAAACACGCGTACAAGTAACGCACTTTTAATGAATGCTAAAATCGAGCAAGGAATTTGAATTTGGGATTCTCACATTGGGTGTGTATTTAGGCCCCCATCTTAGCCTTAGAGACAGCCTTGATTACGTTAGTGATTTTTGACAAACTGTGTATCGGTTACATCGAGCCGATGTGGACCGAGTTGAATTCCGCCACTGTCTGTGAACAGTTTGATTCAGTGTCAATATTGTCTACGACATAATAGGCGGTTTAAAATCATGCCATAAAAAAAACATGTACGCACACAGAATTTTCCCCATTACACAATGGACAAATGCAGTTGCGGAGTTTAGACAATGCACTGCCTTCTCTCCGGTACCTGCAGACGATGAAATCCCGAGGTTGTAGTGGTCGCCCCTGCCTACTCGCGCGCTGGGGATTCCGCCAGAAGCGGAAGTGGACCGCGCGTGAGATTGTCCAGTCTGTCGTTTTGTCAGGGAATATAATCGCGCAAAGTAGCCGGAATGGCTTCCCCTTGTTTCTGGCGCCCTCTTTCGGGTCAAAAGGTGCCCGGATTATGGATCGGTGCAGTAATCGAGATTCAACGGAGCAAGAAAAATGTGGTTGTGAACACTGGTACCCGGCGAGCCCCGGAGACTTGAAATGCCGCCGGAGAGCCACAGACGCTGCAGCATCGTTCATACGACACTGGTAAAGCGAGATATAATTCCACTCCCCCCGGAGGAGTCCTCGGAGCGGGACTGTAATGGATAACCACAGCAGAGACGGGCGTCATCCGCTCGCGGGAGGCGATTCTTGTTTGGAAGACAACCTTCTAATCCCCTCCCTGGCGGTCGGCGAGTTATTGAATTGTATTTTAATAGGACTAAGCAAACAGAACGAGAGGTGTCGACTATTTGTCTTGCGCCCCTCTTTATCAAATTGTAACACATCAACGATATTGATGGTTTGGTTAGCGCTGGCGGTAATCTCCATTATCGTTATTAATATCGTCATTGCTATTTCTATCAACAACATTGCCTTTAACATCACTAGCGGAGTCGGGAGGGTTGTGGACGGGGCAGCTCCCCACCCCCAAAAAAATATTTTTAAGAGGACATTTAAAACATAAACTTTATAATAAGAATGTTAAAAACATAAACTTAAATAATAAGAATGTAAAAAAACAGAAACTTAAGTAATAAGAATGAGAAACATAAATTTAAATAATAAGAATGTAAAAAAACATAAACTTTAGTAATAATAATGTGAAACATAAATTTAAATAACAAGAATGTTAAAAACATACACTTAAGTAATAAGAATGTGAAACATAAATTTAAATAATAATAATGTTAAAAACATAAACTTAAGTAATAAGAATGTGAAACATAAATTTAATTAATAAGAATGTTAAAAAAACATAAACTGCACCTGTCCTGGTGGGCACGGGTCCCGGGGGCACCGGTCCATATGGGAACCGGGACATCAGCTCAGGGCAATCACAACTCGCAAGATGATAAAATAACATGTAACCAATATTGTAATAATCATTTACTGAGAATGACATCTGTGCTGTTAGTGACGCCACTTGGAATTAGCAAAACTTCCTCCTTATCAAACACCTGCTTCCTAAATGTTGCAATTTGTTTGTGTGAGTTGAATTATTATTATCATCATTTTTATTTTATTTTTTAAATGTAATCTATTATCCATCAGGTCATAACTCGTAATCGGGAAATGTATTTGAAAGAAAATTCGTCGGCGGAAAATTGATTGACGGAAATTTGATCGAACGGAAGTTTGATCGAATTTTTTTTTTTTTTCAGTTCATACGTTTAAATTTCGCGTCAAATTTCTTTTTTAATTATTGCTCACACCGACAACGCTTCTATTTTAAGTGCTGAATGGTTAGATGAGGATGATGTTGACTTGTCTGGTCTATCAGTGCCGCAAGATCAAAATGATCCATCAGCTGCTGTAGACAATGTCCTTCAGAGGCGTCATTTTATTTTTTTTTCAGTGGGGGGGGGGGGGCAAAACTAAAACTTAGTCGTCTTGTTAAGTTGTTTATTACTGGAGGCGCGCAATTTAAATAAAACCTGCAAATTAGTGGGTGGGGGCAAATGCCCCTGCCCTACCCAAATGATGTCCCTAATGCCAATTGTTACGATAGAGCGAACCTGGCTACTCCTTGGGAAGATTATAGCAGCTAGAAACTATGCTATAATTGTTAGCTTTAATGACACTAATTATAATTATACCACAAACAATGATATTTAGTCTTTAACAACCTGTCAAATGATTCTGCATTATAACATTTAAGTGTAAAAATTTTTTAACTTGTTCATTAACAAGTTAAAGATGTAATGAAATAATTTGTTTCCTACAATTTTATTGTCATTAAAATAGATCAGCACAAAGTAAAATGTATTTATAAATTTATTTGTAATATAATTCTTTTTTTCTTTTTTTTTTTGGGGGGGGGGGAGTTGGGGTAGAAAATGTTGACATAATTAGATAGTGGCGTCATTGAAAGTTTAAAAGTTGTTGACAAGAGAGAGGGGGGGGTGAAATATGCTTAAAAAGTGTAGACGTAATTAATGGACGACCCCAATGTTACAATCTATGTCTATAACAAATCTCAGACACCACGTCCCCTAAAGTAATTCACACTTTTGAACTAAATTTTAAAAATAAATTCACAATTAATTTATATTTAATCTAAAACACAATTCCTTATTAACTGTTAAATTTTTAAACGTGAAACCTTCTGCCAGAATACATGGATCCAGGGTTTCTTTCAGCTATAGCCTATAGCTCCGGGGAAAGGGGGGGGGGCAGTGTTCCTCTTCCCCCGGGGAAAGCCAAGTGCCCCCGGAGCAAAAATATGTCCAACAATAAATCAACTGGACCTGCTGGAACATACCCCCGAAAAATCTGAAGTGCCCCCCCCCCCGGGGAAAATTTATAAAAGAAACACTGCATGGATCACAACATCTATCACAACAGAAACTTTAACATCACTGTCATATCAGGTTTTATTAAAAAAATGTCCAACAATAAATCAACCGGACCTGCTGGAACATACCCCCGAAAAATCTGAAGTGCCCCCCCCCCCCCGGGGAAAATTTATAAAAGAAACACTGCATGGATCACAACATCTATCACAACAGAAACTTTAACATCACTGTCATATCAGGTTTTATTTGTATGATGTTAAAAAAAGTGACGTCTCACTAGATCCTCAAAATCCCACCCCACTTTTTAAAAAACAATTTAAAAAATTTAGATCAACATGTTTTTAAAAAAGCAAAAAAATGGAGAACAAAAGAATATAAAAGAATAGGTTTATTTAAATTAGATCTAATTATTTTCAAAGAGAAGTAACTCACAAAAATATTTGGAAAATGCACAAGAGTAGCGTACCATAAAAATACGAAACTTTTTTACAATTGTCTTATTTGTCTGACTTAAAAATCCATAACAAAAACAAAACCACAACCGATTCAAATATCGAAATATGAAATATGTATATTAAGGCAATAGGCATTAACTAACTTTCACAACACTTAATTCTATTTTATACCATACTGATTTATAGTTTTGTTTCGGTGCATTAAAGCTTAGTTTTTATGCTACACAACCGACACAACCATGGTTGTTTACAAATATGGCGGCACATTCATTTTCATGCACCTGCTTGTTTGAAAGAGTTGTTAAAAGATGCCGATTTAGTATTTATCGATTGAAGTGAAAGTCTTAATATTAGCTTATTGATAATGACTGCTCAATTAAGAAAGGATGTTGATTTTAATGGTCTATTTAGAAAGCTTGGTAAGTTTACAAATACAATATGTGATTTTTTGTAACAGTTGATAAAATGTTAAAATACTCAAGTCTAATACTAATAGTTATAACAAGACTATGTCAAGAGCTAGGTTATTTTGTAAAAAATTTTAACATTTTGTAAAAATAAACCAATGGCATTGTTGAATAGAGAGCATTTTTTTTTACAGAATTATAACACCAAAATCATATTTTTAGCTGTTGTAGTTGTAGTTTTAAAGTTAAAGTTATGAATTTTTATTAATTTTTAAAGTAGGACTTGGTTTGTCCTTTTTTAACATGGACTGCATCTCCACATTCTGTGGCCTCATTCTGCTGATCACGTCATGCGCAATGACTATATAGTTTATATAAGGCAAAGCATCCCCTTATCATTAAAATAATGTTTAGGGTCGACTTATTTTAAACTTTCAACTTAGGCACATGAATAATTAAAGCTTTCCCTGACTAATGGTTTAATAGTTTTTGCACACGGGAAACTCTTATGAATGAAACTCTGAGGTAGTACTAAGATATAGCCGTTATGCAAGTGGCTTTGAATGGTTGCCAATGACAATGTGTTGCACACAGAAAATTATGATCATTAATAATACGAAGTGTCTACACGTCCGGCGCGCCGGACGTGTAGTGCGCAAGATACACGTCCGGCGACTTGTCACGTGACCGCCGGACATGGCCGGACGGCTAGTAGTTTTTATAATTCCAAACGAAGTATGATTTAGTACATCTTGTCTGGTCTTGTGGTAGAGTGGTTGCTTGACGATAGGAAGGTTTGAGGATCTATACCAGGGATAGGGTCGTTTTTTTTCTTCCTATTTTAATTAAAATATTTTGTATATATTTATATTATCATGTTCCTCAGCAACAGTAGTTTCATGAGAAGTTTTTAAATATTTTGTAGCAATTGAAATAATTTAAAATGAAATCTTTAACTGGCCCCTAATTTATTTTATGGATTACTGGTACACAAAAAATAACAAACTAAACAAAAATGTTTACAAGCCACTTTCACTTAAGTTTTTTTTCTATTATTTGCATTCAAGATACTCAGTACATTACTTGGTAGAGAAATAGATTTTAAAATTAACAATAGTTTTGAATTATTCGCAGTCACGTGACAAGGCTGACCGACAAGATATCTCTCGCCACTTTGTTACGGCGGTCATGTGACTTGGTCGCCGGACACATAGTGCGGGAGATAGACGTCCGGCGCGCCGGACGTGTAGACACTGCCTTAATAATATGGACTCTACAGGGTTCTTAAAGTTCAAATTAAAACATTCCAGTTTAAATGTCTTCAAAATGCATTCTAATACACAACTTATCAAATATTTTGATGTAAATAGTGGTAATAATTAAATATTTCCTAAGTATCGGCAACTCATGCCATTAAAAAAGGGGAGTGGCCCACACCATGTCTAAATTAGGCAGAGCCATTTTATGGTGATGTGGGTCACTGGGATAAGCCTAGAGAACGTCGGACACGACCTACATGAATGAGAATTGGCACACGTATGCTTCAATATCTAATGCTTTTCACGATTTAATATGAAAGACCTTTTCTTTTTATTTCACTAAAAATTTTGTATGTGAAGATTCCTTATATATACCAAAGATTTTCAAAATAAAGGTCGATTGAAAAAGCAAAATAGCTGGATGGAAATGTAGGCCAAGATGTCTACCATAATATAAGGCCGGAAACGGAAATCAAATATATGTCGAAAGTACTCATTTAATAATAAATAGACACACACATAGGAAAATTAAAAACTCGAATTTTTCGGCGCCGATGCCCATTTCCGATACAAAAAAGTAGTAGTGTCCCTTGTTTCATCGAAGTACCTACAAGAGCTGAGCCATACTCATAGCTTCAGATATTTTAACTAGGAAAAAATTGGCCTATAACTATAATTTACAGTTACTTATCCTGGCTTGGGGCATATACTCAACCCTTCTAAAATCCTTATTCTCCTGCAAGAAATAAAATTAAATGCTTTTGACAGTCTTGATCTATGGAATGGTTCATTAGGCACAAAACTCTAGCATTACTTGTACCTTTTAAATATAGTAGATTTGTCCTAAGTAAATCATAGTAGCTAATTACTAATATAATAATGTGCTTATTAACATTCTTCTCAAACATCTTCAGGTCATCCTCTTGAGGAAATCAGAGTTCGTGCATTGGAAAACATTCAGTCCAAGCTAGAACATCAGCTGATCTGTTACGCTGATATAGTCCATGAGAAACAACTGTATATACGCTTACTTGAGTGGTTCAACATTCCAGAATGTTCTCACAAGACAGAAGTTTTGGGAATTTTAAACAGACTTGCACAGGTAAAACTTTTACTAAAATTAATTAAAAGGATATTTTTTTAAAATGTAACTGAAGTTGGGGGGAGCAACAAGTACAAGATGTTTGTCCCATTTCTTTCTTGGCATGTAACAAGTACAAGATGCTAATAGCTAGATATAAAGAAATTATACACATCTATAACATCATCTAGATCAATGCTGTCTAGTATTTTTGACTCCACTGACATTAAAGCCATGCTGCAAAGTCTTTCTTGCGTCATTGTGCTCCTGAGATAGTTTTTGATTAACTTGAGTTTTGAGAATGATCTCTCACATGATGCAATGGAAGTGGCCCGAGTTAGCAGTATTCGGATGGAGGTTGCAAGGTTTGAGCACACATTATTACCATATGAAGCCAGCTTCCTCAATATGTCAATTGGTGATTGTGGTACTCAATATGTCAATTGGTGATTGTGGTACTGGTGTGTTGATGAAAAGTGCTTGTGCATCTATGACATCATTGATCAAGCGATTTGCCTGTATTTCATCATACAAACAGGAAAAAGTAACACAGTTTTTCATCAGCGTGTCATCATCCACAGACTCCAACAGGTGTCTTGGTTCAGAAGAAATCCAAAGGTGTCCACATGGTTTTCCAGCCTTTGGAATCTGTCCTTCATCTCCATATAAAGTCTGTCCAGCACTTCTGTCGCAACATGTTTGAAATGCACTTCTATTGACAGTCCTACATCAGAACTCAACTCCCCATCAAGTCTTTTCTTTCTTCTGGTTGTTTTGCTTACAGGAAATCCATAGCATTCACTACCTTCTTTTGCTCTTTCGATAGATTGGGTGATCAGTTTCATCCCTTTCTCATCATTTTGCAGAAAGCATGAAAGGGTCTTAATCTCTTCAGCAGCTTCCCTTATGTGCAGTCCAGACTTTTGTAGTTTCTTCTGAACTATATTGATTGGGCGCAGGAGATTTGACCAGAATTCCAGATACACAAAAAATTCATAATTTTCCACTGCATGAAGAAGATTCTGTGCACTACTTCTAGTGTCCATTCTTTCAGTTGTTGATTCAGAAAGTCTGTCCAACAGCTTGATGATTTTGTCAAAATGCAAGGAAACTGACGACATAGCTTCTTCTCTTGAGGACCACCTTGTTCTACTCTCCTTTTTTAGACTCCCGGCTCCAGCTTCTTTCAGTTTGGCCCATCTCTGGGGTGAATAGGAAAAAAAGTTGAACAATTCATGTACAGTTTCAAAAAAGGTGACAGTTGCTGGATCTATCTCAGCAGAATGAAGAGCTGCCAGGTTGAGAGAGTGATTATCACAGACAGTTGCTGGATCTATCTCAGCAGAATGAAGAGCTGCCAGGTTGAGAGAGTGATTATCACAGACAGTTGCTGGATCTATCTCAGCAGAATGAAGAGCTGCCAGGTTGAGAGAGAGATTATCACAGTTCAGAAATGTTACCTTTGGATTTATGTCTAAGAGAGGCAGGCCAGACAGACGGCCACTCATTGTGGCTGCGTTATGTCTAAGAGACGTTTCTGCCAGCCAGACAGACGGCCACTCATTGTGGCTGCGTTATATCTAAGAGATGTTTCTGCAGGCCAGACAGACAGCCACTCATTGTGGCTGCGTTATGTCTAAGAGACGTTTCTGCAGGCCAGACAGACGGCCACTCATTGTGGCTGCGTTATCATAGGTTTGACCTCTGCACACATCAAAGTCCATTCCAATGTTGTTAAGAGTTTTCAGAACAAGTTCTTCATAATGTTGTGCATCTGGCTTCACAATTTCAAAGTAACCAAGGAATGAATTTTTTATTTCGAAATTCTCGACATCCAAGTAACGAACTATAAGGGATACTTATTGTTCTTGGTGAGAAACATCTGGAGTGGAATCGAGCATCAGAGAAAAGTAACAAATTTGCTTGACTTTCACAACAATTGATTCCCTAACTTTATTGGCAATCAAGTTTATGAACTCATTTTGAATTTCTGGTGACAAATAATGTGTCTTCCCAGATTCAATTCTATGTAAGTGGTGTTTTGTAACTTCATCAAATTCTGCTATAAATTTCAAAGATGCTAGGAAGTTCCCAGGAGAATCCAGTTTTTCTTTGTGGCCATGTAAGCTTGAGTTGGTTTTTTCTAAGTACTTGACAGCTGCTGCTACACGCTTCAGGATTTCTCTCCAATACTGCTGATTTGTCAAAATTTGCACATGAAGCATATGTGACAGCTCATCTGGTTCTGCCTTAAGCCTTGCTTCTTCTAACTTCCACTTCAAAAAAGCTTGCCTGTGGTGGACTCCTTCTTCATGTTCTTTCAGTCTCTCAGGTTTCTTCCATTTGGTGAAACCAACTCCAGGTTTGCTCAATGCACTAAATGTCTTTTCTGGTGCCTCAGAAAACAGGACACATGAAACAAAACAGACATTCCAAGTGTGGAGAGAAGAGGAGCCAAGATCGGTTGCAAATTTCTCCTGTTGGAAGCTTTCTAGTGAACCATGATGATGTCAAACTTCGTGATTTATTTTGGGTAAACTCTGTTGGAAACAAGTACTCTTCATCTTTGTTTTGGGAAAATAAGCTCCCCTTTAATACAATCTTTGCTCACAGTTCCTCAGATAAACTTCCAGGCCGGATATATCCAAAGTCTTTGTACCTAATTACAGTTTCTTCAACTTCTGGAGAATGTGATTTTGTAAGATCATCACTTGACTCATCGTCTGTATCACATTACTTCAGATGTTTTCTCTGACGGTGGTAAAAGGTTCCATCCCCCCCCCCCCCCGTGAAGTTTCTTCAGCACTACTTCTCTCATCAAGAGGCATTTCCACTTCTAAAGTCTCTTCGACTGCTGTATCTTTGTATGAATCATCTGAATGGTGATACTTTTCTTCGCCATGTTCATGATCTCCTTTGTTTTCAGTGCTCTTATCAGGTTTCTTCTTAAAGAGCCCTTCAACAACTTTCCTTGATTTTGCAGCTTCTCGCCTTTCTGCAGCACGCTTTTTCCGTTGTGTAGCCCCACTCTGGTAAACTCATTCTTTCGGCATGGGGGAAGTTCCCCTATAAAGAATAGCATTCTTTTAATTTCACAAATAAAAAATATACAAAAAATTATATTTACTTGTTTCATCCACCATGATTGTGAAATTTCGTCAGACGAATAGACATAAATATAGGGTTTTTCAATCAATTTTTCCACCCTTGCAATCAATTTTCCAATGAAAAATTGTACACCCCTATTTTATAATTTTCTTACAATCAATTTTCCCACCGTCGCAATCAACTTTCCCATCCTTTCAATCAATTTTCCAATGAAAAATTTTACCCCTTTTTTATTTTAAAAACATAACTAAAAAGCGATATGATAAATTTATTAATAGTAAAAGTCAAATTTATTCCTTTATTTCCTGCATTCTTTCTGATCGGATTATGTACCTTAACATTTTTCTGTAAAATCCATCACAGTTTGTTGTGGTATTAACGCTAAAACCCTCATTAATACAAACATTTAAGTTTTTCCATTTAGAAAAGCAAGTCTCAATTGGATTGAGGAAAGGTGAATAAGAGAGTAAATACTCGAGTGTCAAGTTTAAATCTGAAATTGAAGAAGCCAAACCCAAATAATGGTGAATTCTAGCATTATCAAGAATAAATATTTTTCATCTGTGATACCCAATTCTGTACATTTTACTTTAAGGTTCATTAACCTTAAAGTCCTCGCTATTTAAAGCTTTATCATGAATTTTGCTGTATATCATACAGTCTTTATTCATGGCAGCAAAGACAGAAATATTTCTAGTTCTTGCTGCAGGCACATCTACATAAGCGGATGTACCAACAAGCAAACAACCTTTTTTTGGTCTTGATGAGACTGCAAAGCCCACTTCATCTAAGAAAAACAATCTTTCAGCACTATGAGTTAGGCCTACTTCATACTCTTGAACCTTTTGAACATAAATAAACCGTTTTTTAATGGTTATCTCATTGTTTCGAGGTTCTGGAACTACTGTTGTCTGTTTAAGAGTATAGTGAAATGACCTTAGACACCGGTCAATTGTACTATGAGAAACTTTGAAATGAAAATTTTTCAAGAACCTTATCACTTTACTCATTCAACGTTAACAAGCAGTTCTCATCGACCCAAGAATTTGGTCTCTATGTATTAGATCAAGCTCTGAACGCCTATTTCCTCCCTTTTGTTTAACAACAATTTGGCCAGTTTTTTTAATAATTATTAATTACTTTTAAAGCGGCCCAATAGTTTAACTCTAAAGCATCGGAAATAGCTTTAGTAGACATGCCTTGCCTGATCTTGTTTAAAAATTTTTCTCTATTTTCATTAGAGATTTTAGAATATGCACAAACCATATAAGAGTGTAATTTTTTTAATGAAATAAACCTGTATTAAAATTTATTTTGAGTATGTTTTTAAAATAAAATGAGGGGTAAAATTTTTCATTGGAAAATTGATTTCAAGGGTGGTAAAATTGATTGCCAAGGTGGGAAAACTGATCGAAAAACCCTATATGTGAACTATTACCCTTCTATTTATGTCTATGGACAGATCGATTATAGCATGGACATAAAATAGAAGATACTGATAAAATGCCGTCAAGATAAAATGTTTTACAAAAACCGGAGTTATGTATTGACAGTTTTTAAAAAACTTTTTACCAGTTTTAACATCCGTGTTGATAGACGTAATTTTGAAATCCTTAATCTGTGTGGAATACATGCAACAGGGTCACTAACTTATATAACAACATGAATAGCAAGATTACATGGCAGCGACGTAATATTTAAAATTTAATGTAAAAAAAATTTCGGGCACTCCTTCGGGGGCCCCCCTCAAGTAGGGGGCCGGGGGGGACTTTCAAATTTGGACCCCCCTGCCCTAGCTACGCCACTGTATTCATGTTGATTTGCAGTTTAATTATTCACCCCCCTTTGTCTTCTATCTTTAAAAATACTTAATTTAAAAAACACTTAATACTTATTTGTAAATATGAAGTATTTTTAAAAAAAATTTATTAATGAATATACCAAATTCCAGTAGAAAAATTAGAAGACAACATTGTGAAAATCGTAAAACCTTCTAAATACTAGTTCTATGCTGACTTACTTAGATAAATGGTTTAAAAAAACAACTTTAAATTCAACACTGAATTTTTTTAAAATGTATCTCTTAATTTATGCAACTCATAACTATGCATTACAATATATCCCTGTATTGATAATTGTCCTGTTTAATGGCAGCATTCAGCAGGGGCCCAGCTGTTACAGGATATGGGTGCAATCGAATTTCTATCCCAGCTGCGCTGCGATATTGAGCCATGCCATCGCCCAATCATTGACCAAATCCTGGAAAGTATAATGCTCTTGCCAGACACTGGAACAGAACAGCATGCCCCTGAGTGCATATATCATAGACCTACAGACAGCGGTCAGTACAAATGACATAATGTATCACCACAACATTATGACTTTGACTATTACAAATAGCCCTAAAAAAAACCCATTAAATTTCTATTTACTAACTGAAAAAAGAAAATTAATTTTTGCATTACCAAGTATAGTAAAGAAAATATATTAATGAAATTAGATGGACTGTTTTTTAAATAAACCAGTGAATTTTGTAATGCTCACTCCTGTATCATAGAAAACAATTGTATTTTCTTGACTTGAAGCTGTCTGGGGTGCTAGCACCTTGACCACAGTTGATGCCTCCCATGGGTCTCACACTTCTCAAAGTCCCGGTCTGCGAATGGCCACCAGCATGGAGAGGTTAAGTCAACATGGGGCTCAGGGATATTTTGCGGGTGTTTCAAGTGGAGCAGGTCATCCGACATTTGGAACCACTGACTACAACACAGAAGCTAAGGATATTTTGAGTTCTGCTGACGTAAGAGGTAAATTGTGTTAATTAGGTCACAAAAAATTTTTTAAAGTAAGACATCATTGTTGAATGAAGATTAACTTTTCAAAAATTGACGTAAATTGTTAATTATGTCTCTGGAATACGTAACTTTCCTTATTAAATTTTAACAAAATATTGTTAAATTTTGAATAATCTTTTTCTTTCCATATAGAGAACGGCATGAGTTTGTTCAGACTGTCAACATTCCCATGGCTTCCTCTGACCCAAACAGATCAACATGTGATAGTTTCAACCAACAGGTAACGTACACGAGGTCTAAGCTGTGGTTCTGGTCCTATTTCACAAGAACCAACAAAATCACAATCAGGACTTATAATCATGCATGAAGTGTCAACCTCAGTGATGGCATTTAAATACTTGATGCAGTAAGGGTTTAACAGATTTGTTAGTCCTTACATCATACACCGCCCCCCCCTCCCCCCAAAGCCACACACACACACACCTTTTAAGATGTTATCTCTTTAATGTTCACACCATGTGACATGTCCAAACCCCCTGTCATGTCCAAACCCCCTGTCATGTCCAAACCCCCTGTCATGTCCAAACACCCTGTCATGTCCAAACCCCCTGTCATGACCAAACCCCCTGTCATGACCAAACCCCCTGTCATGTCCAAACACCCTGTCATGTCCAAAACCCTGCCATGTCCAAACCCCCTGTCATGTCCAAACCCCCTGTCATGTTCACATTCCATTTTATGTCTTGTGTGAGTAAAATCTGTATACCAGCCTCAAAGAACTGACTTGACATTACTTTATTGTTAGCACTTTACAAACTCGGGATTCCGCAACGCTGGTTGGTGCCTGTGAATTTCTAGCAGATGTGGTGTTTCAAGATTTCCCAGCTGAGCTGTTCCTACAGAGGCCTGAAATCCTTAAGGTAGCTGGACAATAAATGTATTCTTACGATTTTTTGGACTCTGAAGTCTTCATATATAAACGATATATTTTATGGCTAAGGTGCCAACGGAAGGGGGCCCTGTCAACTGTCATTTGCCTCCCATTAAACCATCATTTTTTTATGTTTCACCTTTTATCCTCCCGACAAACCCTTCACACAATCTCTCCAAAACCCCTTCCCTCTCTCACTTCTTCTACCACTCAATCTTATATTCTACCCTAAAGTTTCCCCACCCCTGGGCCAATGACCTTCATCGCACCCTTTCCAATATGTCCACCCCTCAACCACCTGCATCAATTCATCGCCTGGGCCCTCAACTCCACCCCGCCCACTATCTCTACACCCCTAGCCTCCACCCTGTCCCCTATCAGCTCCTCTGATCATCAACCTCTTCCCAGCTCAACCCACACCCATTCCAATCTCACCCCTGCCCCCTTACACCAACCCTATTTCAGTAAAATACGATTAATGTAGTAAAATTTATTAAAATATTCTCATTTAGAATCATTGACATTTCTGTAAAAATAATAAAAAATTATCAGGTTTAGAAATGGAAAACAAAATTTTTAATGAAGTTTTTTTTTTTCTTTACTAGAACCTCCTGTCTATCATTTCCCTCCCTGACCCGGCTGATCACCCAATCGTGGTACAGGCCTGCAAGACCCTCACATGTTTCATCAAGTGTTTGCAAGTGCGGATACGCTATTTTCAAGATCCAGCAATATATACCTCTAAGCAAGGTGAGGCTGAGATATTTGCTAGCACAAAGCTGAGGTTTACATGGTACAGACAAGGTGAGGCTGAGATATTTGCTAGCACAAAGCTGAGGTTTACATATTACAGACAAGGGGAAGTTGAGATAATGTGACAAAGCTGAGGTTTACATATTACAGACAAGGGGAAGTTGAGATAATGTGACAAAGCTGAGGTTAACATATTACAGACAAGGGGAAGTTGAGATAATGTGACAAAGCTGAGGTTTACATATTACAGACAAGGGGAAGTTGAGATAATGTGACAAAGCTGAGGTTTACATATTACAGACAAGGGGAAGTTGAGATAATGTGACCAAGCTGAGGTTTACATATTACAGACAAGGGGAAGTTGAGATAATGTGACAAAGCTGAGTTCTTCACATAAGGACAAGTGAGGTTGAAGATGCTGTTTCAAATGTGAGGTCTACATAAACAAGTCTTATATATATATAACAAGTTAAAGTCTGCCTAACTATTTTATGAAGTCATGGAATTTTATCAAGAATTTTTTTGTGTCGTCATTGGAGATTAATTCTGTCTCCATGTGTGGAGACTATTCTGTATTTCATATTTTGGCACCAGTAATCTTTTCTGTCGCATTTCAATTTTTGTGTGGCAGTTATTATTTTTGGCTAAATGACATTGAAAATTGTTTTGTGATTTGTGTCATTTTTGAAGTGAGTGCGGCAGGATTTTGTCATATTGATAATGGTGACCATGTTTCCTTCTTGTTGCCAGATTTCAACAGCAGCACATCAACACTCGTGTCCTCCTCCAACAGTGCCGGTAGCCACATCGTCGGCCTTCCAGTTCAGCATCGCCACCATTTCGACTGGCGGGACCAGAGACATAGGGGGGATGGCCAAGATGGGGACAGCTCAACTTCAGACAGCAGGTCTGAACAAATCTCTTCATCATTTGTTATTGTATGTTACTTCAGACAGCAGGTCTGAACAAATCTCTTCATCATTTGTTATTGTATGTTACTTCAGACAGCAGGTCTGGACAAATCTCTTCATCATTTGTTATTGTATGTTACTTCAGACAGCAGGTCTGAACAAATCTCTTCATCATTTGTTATTGTATGTTACTTCAGACAGCAGGTCTGAACAAATCTCTTCATCATTTGTTATTGTATGTTACTTCAGACAGCAGGTCTGAACAAATCTCTTCATCATTTGTTATTGTATGTTACTTCAGACAGCAGGTCTGAACAAATCTCTTCATCATTTGTTATTGTATCTTTCTAAAAGAATATTGTCCCGCAGCTGATGTTGAAAGAAATAGTCAGACAGGTGGTCACATTGAGTTTATTGGTGACAATTAGTCAAGTAGATTTTCGGAGAAGCTCCACATGGCAATTTGTTGATTATCCAAAGAAATATTTTTTTAAATTAAAGAGATAGGCAAAATTAATTAAATTATGATACCTTGTGTGGTCAAATTAATTAAATTCCAAAGCTTTGATGCCATCCATGAAACCAATCATTTTTCATCTTGATCCACCATAGAATCCAGTTCTGAAGAGAAGCTTTGATACAAAATAAAATCTTGCTCAATCCAGGTCATCCAGCGTCAATTATGATCCTGGCCAAAGCAATATGGAGGCTGACCTCGAACTTGAGGATGAGCCACGCCTGCAACACCAGCAGCTGACAGTTCCCCAGCTGTGCGTGGCGTTGCTACAGAGGGCCCTCCCCCAGCTGCAGACTTCCCATGAGTCATTGGGAGTTCAGGTGCTGGAGCTGGTGCATGAGGTTCTGGTCGTGCTGGGACCAGTGCTGGACACGGAGGTGTGGTCAGACGGCAGGGACACGGCAAGGGAAGTGGTCAGTGACAAAATTTGCGAACTGATGTCATGTTATTGAGTTTATTATGTGTTATGTCTAAGTAAAGATGACAAGCTTTCATATTGCAAATATTACTCCCTTCTACTCAAAAAGTAGAGCTATGTTTTTATTTTGTTATTTATAATGGCCTGACATTGAGAAGTTTGATGAACATGACATTAACAGTTATTCCTATTCTAGACTTCCTGATAGGACAAAGAGATTGAAGGATAATAACACTGTCCTTTCACAACTTGTTTTAATTTTGAAGTCTCACCATGACATGAGGACGTAGCACCCAATTAGAACCCAATGCCACTGTAACATGACATGAGGACGTAGCACCCAATTAGAACCCAATGCCACTGTAACATGACATGAGGACACAGCACCCAATTAGTACCCAATGCCACTGTAATAAAATAATTGAATGCAGAGTTATGCCTTCACCAGGTCGACCATCTTATGAACTGTCTGGACAGCATATCTGAGCTGCTGGTCTACCACCATCATAGTCAACACGCACTGACCCCCACAGACACAACACTGGGTGACCTTTCAACTCACAGAATCCTCTACATGGGACTGGTCAACACATTGACCAGGTTCCTTACCATCATCCCACTGGAAAAGGTTTTTGTTCTATTTTTATGATCTAATTCATAAATAGTTAAAATATCTCTTTTTAACCATTTGAGTAACTATTTTATGCTATTGTTCTCTTAAGGTTAGCATATTTTTATTATTTGCAGTGATAGCTTGTTAATAATTTTTTTCTTTTTCCCCAGATGAATTCAGTGTTGCCAGAAAAGCTGAAGTTGTTTCTGCCCACCATCATTTATGACGAAGCCCTGGCAATGACAAACTCTCGATGTCGCACCATCTGCCTAGCTGTTGCCCAGAGCCTAGGCCTGTCTGCTCCCATCGACTTCCAGCAGGCCATGGACATTTGCCGCTCACTGACCAAAACATGCTCATTTTGTCTTCAGGCTGAATCGGGAGTGAGTGATGTACAAATATTGACCTGATTACAATTCATTAGTTTCATTAATTAAGTTTTAATATACACCATACAGCACGGGAAGATGCAGCATATAGTTGACTCCATTTTGTGATTACAATTCATTAGTTTCATTTATTAAGTTTCAATATACCCCATACAGCACGGGAAGATGCAGCATATATCAGACCTGTTTACTCTTACGATTTTGGCGTACAATGTACGATTTTGAGATGTCTTTTACGATTGTACGCTGAGACCCGCCAAAACTACGATTTTCAGAGAGCCGGTGAAAAAAAAAAAATTTCCGATTAAAATTCGTTTGTTGAAGTTTTAGCCTTTTCCAATAAAAATCTGGCAGTGAATGAAACGAGAAAAATGATTGGTTGTAATTTTTTTTTAAGTTGGGGCCATCCTTCATTATATTATGTGCGCACTGAAAGGGGAGGTGGGGGTTGTTAATGAAGGAGAGCTGCGGCATACGGGACACATGGGTGGGGGGTTGGTCGGAGTGTCAAAGGTTATAAA